CCCTTCAAACTCAAAGCGAATGTTTTCTGTACATATAAGAATAAGTTCTCTTAAGTATTCAAGAGGAATATTAAGTTGAAAATTGTTTGAAGAAATATAATCGCACAAAAAATCAACTGTTTCATAAAGTGGTACATTGGTAAAAAGTGAATCCACATCTATCGAATACATTCTATCCTGAGATATTGTAATATTATCCAAAATATTGGATAATATTTGTTTGTTCTTTGTTCTTTCGACTCAATCGACCGCCCTAAACTCTGGTGCGGCCTTTCTCTGAAGGGTGCGCCCGAGAAGTTTATTTCAATATTACGATCTCTCTATACTCATGACCGAAGTCGAGTCCGAGCTTACGGCACATTTTCACCCGAGTTCACCACGGAAAGTGGTGTTCGTCAGGGTTGCCCTGTCTCTCCTTTCCTAATTAACTTTGTTATAGATCTGATTGTGGAAACAGCCCTATCCTCGTGCGAGGATAGTGGCATCGATTTACTCCCAGATGGCAGACTGTCTGATCTGGAGTATGCAGACGACATTGTGCTACTTAGTGAAGATCCGAGTAAGTTGCAAGCTTTTCTGGATAGTTTGAGTGCTAGCGTACCATATTCGGTATGCGTTTTGCACCTTCAAAGTGTAAAATGTTACTACAAAATTAGGTTGGTCCAGCACCCAGAATCACTCTGACTGGGGAAGCAGTAGAGGAAGTAGACAAATTTTGCTATCTGAGCAGCTAAACTTCACCCAGCGGACGCATCATAGATGAAGTGTCAGCTCGCATACAAAAGTCTCCATCAGTATTTGCCAACTTGAGACACCGGTGGCGCCATCGAGACATCCGGCTGTCTGTGAAGGAACTAGTGTATGCTGTAGCAGTTCGGTTATGTAGAGCAGAAACTTAGCCATCAGGAAAACAAGATAAAGATAGATTGTCGGTATTTGAACACCGCTGTCTAGGTAGCATTGCACGAACCTGGTGGGGCAGCCGGACTAGCAATGCTGAGGTTAGGCAGTCGACGTCGTCCACTGGAGCAAGTAGTCGACCTCCATAGATTACGTTGGTTGGGGCATGTGTTACGCATATCACTAAATAGTTTGCCACGGTGAGCGATGTTTGCCGAGACAGGTAATGGGTGGAATAAAGTCGAGGGTGGCCAAGCTAAGACCTGGCATGAGGGTTTGAAAACCCTAACCAGGAGTCTGGGTCACATAGGTCCCGTTAGGCTCCCTGGCTGGGGACCCCGAGATTATGGTCACTGATGGTTCGAGACACTAAGTGATATGGTTGGGTGCGTAAACAGCGGCGTTAGTGCATCTTCTTTAATTTCTCGGCATCATTAGCCCACTGAGCTTCTCAATTTTCTCTTCGATCCTACTTTCAATCTTCCCGTTTTGCTCCTATTGTTCACCCAAAAGACAGCAACCAAAAGCGTCGACGGAAATGCATGCTTAATGATTGTTTAAGGTAAACTGAATTTGATATATATACATACATGATGTTCAGTTGTTCGTCGAGTTTAGCATTTGTATTTCAAACGTTTCATCACCGATCGAGTAGTAGCAGTGACAGCAGCGTTAAAAACTTACGAGAATTTAAAACACGCTAGAATAGTTGATAAATGGAGGATCTTCAAGTGAAATATTGGGGTGCACGAATAGAAAATTGTGCAATCTGAAATTATGAAAGAGTATCTATAAAAAAAAAACTCACTTTAGCAAACTTGAAAAATGGAGACGGATTCTGTACAAAATAAGCCATATCGAACATTGCTTGTGGACTGGATAGATCGGGATAGTCTTTAGAAAGACGAGCATAAACACCATCACGTGAACGGAAGTCAGGGATGCCGCATGAAACAGAAATTCCAGCCCCAGTGACAACCAGGATTGATTTGCAAGTATTCAACAATTCTATCACTTTATCAAGCGTGTTTATGCGACGCAATCGACGGCGGGGAGTTGGTTCAGCTAATAAAGTGAGCAGTAATCCCCAGAGTTGCAGTGGATCGTTAGGTAAAGAGCTCTCCTCGATCCCAAATAGGCGGACAAGTAGCATCCTAGGATCGTTGTGCCCAGCACGTAAAAGGACATTCAACCGTTTGAACGGTCCTGAATAAAATAGGGAACGAACAGGAGAATTTCAAGCTTGAGGGAAATAATGTAACAGGACCATGAAGGAAACTAACATGTGAATTCAATATGACCACGTACGTAACGACCTGAATTCAATTTGACTTCGAAAACATGGTAAAACTAGAAAGGATGAAGGCAAAAAATCACAAGCAATAGAAGACGTGAACAATCTTTTTGAAACGTAATCTTTACTGTTTCCTACTTAACTCCACAAGGTTCTACCTCGTTTTGGCCTCGCATATGTTGACAATTACCTTAGGTAAGTCCAAAACAATGGGTTCTCCATTACTGAGATACGTCTTTGCAGTCTATAATTCGATACAACGCGGAAAACACCGTGCGCTTGAGTAAAACAGTCACATGGAAAGTTGGGCTTCATTATTTTCTTGTCTCCTCCCT